GCATTTTCTAGATTCGGTGGAGTACTCAACGTTTTCCTGAATACAAGATCCAGTTCAAAGAAACGTTCGCACCTCCAGTCGTGTGCAGATTGATGACTCATGACATCCGTATTTCATCCAAAGAGGCTAGTAAACAAATCATTCCGGACAGGCGCAATATGGAAATGTGCTTTTGAAGTCTAAGAGACCAGGAAGTTATGACTGCACACGCTTTGTGGCTCCGTTCCGGGTAATATACTCTCAACACATTCAGTCATTATAAACGGACCACGGTCAGGGCCAAATTGACATGAAATGAGGGCTTTGAATTAGCCCTTCTCGTCGGCATTGATTTATGCTCAGTGGTAAATTGCATCTCCTGAGGAGACGCGCATTTAAACAACAGCTTTTCAAGAGCGTAATTGATCTGGTTGTAAGAGATCCTGAAAGGGCTGGAGGCCCTCAGTCAGGAAAACATTCATTTCTGTGCAGAGAAAGAAAAGCATTCGTTTCAAAGACTGATTGCATTTCGTCTATTTCAGAGGCCGAGATAACATGTTTTATAGGTAATTACTTATTTGATGAACCACAGCTTATTTACATATCACAAACTTATGAGTGTATTTTGTAATATTCATTTTGATTCCTTCGTTATGTGACACAGGAGAGCCAAAAGTGCTGCACGCTGCACTGCAAACACAATTGGTTTGATGACCTACATGATGGCGTTCATTTGCATCAGTTAATTATTTAATTGTGTGTGGCTTCCTTTCTTAATTGGAATATAGGCTTTGTAATTTGGATGCTAGTGTCGTCTGAGCTTACGAGCGCTTGTTTCACTAACTAATGAACTGTATTTCATGAGAGCCTTGTGGTGTGTAACACGGTGTTGCTGGTCTGTCTGCCCCAGCGATGTGCCTGCTAGCATGCCCTCTGAGTCCTGCAATTCACCCATTGTTAATGAGATTCTAATATATGCGGTACGTTTCAACAAGCACGGAGCTGCCTTTCTGCACCGGGGCTCATGTTCGGTGTGTCATGGGTGTGTGTGTATCTATAGTGTTTGTGTGTGTGTTTATTCTAATAAGGATCATTGCAGTTTCTGCTGATTGCTGTCCTCTCTAAAGGCTAGGTGAAGTTCCTCTAGCGACAGCCACATTGTGCCTTCATTATTTTAGGGAATCGTTGTAGTCATCACAAACAGCTCTTAATTAAAGGCGTTTTTGTTAACTTAATCATTATGTAGTCTCCCAAGATGATAAATGGTGTCCCAAAAGTGGTTTAAAGATTACTTTGTGGTGTGGAAGAAATTGTGATTTTTAGTATCGCTGACACGCAGAGCAAACCCCCTCTAATTTGTATATGCTCTTTTGAACTCTGACACTTATGAACTCTGAAATTGATCACAACAACAGTTTTGATGGGAAAAATGAGCGTATTAACTGCCACAGCTTGCTAGTAATGGGGAAAAGGCTAAAAGTACAAAAATCTGAGACTATTACATAAAAATAAACACAATATTTCAATGCACAAGCACAATATTAAAGTTGCACAAAAGTCTGCAAATGCACAAGCAAACTTAACTGAGCTAGCCCTGAAGGTGTAGCTCTGTTGTGGATGCGCTCTTCCTGTACACACTAAAACACGGGCGCACAAAGATTCCAAAACATTATTTTACAGCGATGTTCTTAATCATAATGATAATCATAACTCATGTTGCACTTAACTGTATTTTCCTTTTCGAAGTGATTTCAATTATATTTCAAGCAATTCAAAACCATCATGTCGAACAGTGTGTATCTGTAGTGTCTCTGAAGGAAATAATGTATAATTTGTCAGCTTTAATATATCAGACAAATGTTCCTATCGGGTTGATAACGATTACAGTAAAAATTAACATTTATCTACCGATGCGTTTTTGTTAACTTAATCATTATGTAGTCTCCCAAGATGATAAATGGTGTCCCAAAAGTGGTTTAAAGATTACTTTGTGGTGTGGAAGAAATTGTGATTTTTAGTATCGCTGACACGCAGAGCAAACCCCCTCTAATTTGTATATGCTCTTTTGAACTCTGACACTTATGAACTCTGAAATTTATCACAACAACAGTTTTGATGGGAAAAATGAGCGTATTAACTGCCACAGCTTGCTAGTAATGGGGAAAAGGCTAAAAGTACAAAAATCTGAGACTATTACATAAAAATAAACACAATATTTCAATGCACAGGCACAATATTAAAGTTGCACAAAAGTCTGCAAATGCACAAGCAAACTTAACTGAGCTAGCCCTGAAGGTGTAGCTCTGTTGTGGATGCGCTCTTCCTGTACACACTAAAACACGGGCGCACAAAGATTCCAAAACATTATTTTACAGCGATGTTCTTAATCATAATGATAATCATAACTCATGTTGCACTTAACTGTATTTTCCTTTTCGAAGTGATTTCAATTATATTTCAAGCAATTCAAAACCATCATGTCGAACAGTGTGTATCTGTAGTGTCTCTGAAGGAAATAATGTATAATTTGTCAGCTTTAATATATCAGACAAATGTTCCTATCGGGTTGATAACGATTACAGTAAAAATTAACATTTATCTACCGATATGGTGGCCGATATATTGAGCATCCCTATAAAATATGATTTGATTTCATTAAAGTATTTAAATGGTCAAATAGTGAAATTTCTCAACTTTCCATGACTATATCCTTACTGTTATTGTTAAATGCTGAACTGTTGTGAATTCAAAATGTTTACTTTATCAAAAAGTTATCTGGGAAATTTTGCAACCCTAAATGGTCAGCTTTGCAATTTTGCAATGTTTCTCCAAAAATACCCAATGCAAATTTTGCCTAAATGAAAGTTTTTTTTAACTAATGGCTTCCTGAAGACATGTTTAAGTGTGAAGAAAACTTTCAATGCACAGGCACAATATTAAAGTTGCACAAAAGTCTGCAAATGCACAAGCAAACTTAACTGAGCTAGCCCTGAAGGTGTAGCTCTGTTGTGGATGCGCTCTTCCTGTACACACTAAAACACGGGCGCACAAAGATTCCAAAACATTATTTTACAGCGATGTTCTTAATCATAATGATAATCATAACTCATGTTGCACTTAACTGTATTTTCCTTTTCGAAGTGATTTCAATTATATTTCAAGCAATTCAAAACCATCATGTCGAACAGTGTGTATCTGTAGTGTCTCTGAAGGAAATAATGTATAATTTGTCAGCTTTAATATATCAGACAAATGTTCCTATCGGGTTGATAACGATTACAGTAAAAATGAACATTTATCTACCGATATGGTGGCCGATATATTGAGCATCCCTATAAAATATGATTTGATTTCATTAAAGTATTTAAATGGTCAAATAGTGAAATTTCTCAACTTTCCATGACTATATCCTTACTGTTATTGTTGAATGCTGAACTGTTGTGAATTCAAAATGTTTACTTTATCAAAAAGATATCTGGGAAATTTTGCAACCCTAAATGGTCAGCTTTGCAATTTTGCAATGTTTCTCCAAAAATACCCAATGCAAATTTTGCCTAAATGAAAGGTTTTTTTTAACTAATGGCTTCCTGAAGACATGTTTAAGTGTGAAAAAAACAAAATCATGAATATCAGTGCTTGGGTCTTTGAGAGTTATGGATGCCTGTGTGCTAGTGTATACGCATATACTAGAGGAAGGTAAGAAGGCAAGAAAGGGAAACAGAGAGATACAAGACAGCAAGTTGTATTTGTTCTAAATACACAATGCAGCGCATTCAGAAATCTGGGCCAAAAAACATTGATCCCAAAAGCTGGGCCTGGCGATTAGATTTGGGAAGAAACAGAATGCATCGGATTCACTTGCTGCATTCATCATTCACACACTCAATAGCTGGAAATATTCCGCCTGCCAAAGAAAAAATAAAGCATGGTCAAAAAAACAAACAAAAACAGCTCCTGTAATCATCAGAAAGGTAGATAAAGAGTTAACAGGCCTCATTTTAAGTGAATTAGTTTTGCATTTAACCGAAAAGAGGGAAAAAAAGATGGTGTGTACAGATGCAGTTGTCTTGGTGGATATCAAAGGAGTGCTTTATTTCAACTCATGTTTTGTTATGTTATTGTCTTTATAGTAGATTCACAAATCAAAACTTCAAATGCATGGATAAAAAGAGGAAAAATAGGAAGGTGGTAAGACATTTCAAATCTTCTATCTCTTGTGCCACTTAGACCACACACACAGAGACAAGTTATTCATTTAGTCCTCACTAGGGGTCCCTATTGCTCCTCTGTTTGAGCAGAGACTCACACTTACTTATGCTGAGGTTCCCACTAAATAGGCTTTTTCTTATACTTAAAAAATAAATAAATAAATAAAACAAAAAATAATATATATATATATATATATTAATAATATAGCCAAGGTCATAGGTTTGATTCCCAGGGTATGCATATACTGAGAAAATGTATAGTGTAGAATAAGAAAACTGCTTAAACCAACCTAGGTAGGTTATCTGGTCTTTACTCTGGGTTGTTGGCTAGTTTTGAGGGATTTTGAGAATTTTAAGATGGTCAGGACAATTAAAATCGGGTTGGGAGACCATTTTAAACCAGCTAAGGTCAGCAAACCAATTTTGGTTGCTTTATGTTTTTTTAGTTTCAGTAGATAAAATGTATATTTATTTTAAGCCTGTCAGCATGTGACTATGTACCAAAGTCATATTTGTACAGCCATAAATGAACTTTAACATCTAAATTACAAACTGTCCGGTCTTGGAAGGCTTGTGTTGTGCATAAAAGCTTTATATATTTATTTTCCTTCCTTTAATAAACATTAGAACCCAGTGCGTAAAAATTGCGTTTTGTAAAATGAAAAATGTTTTTGTTAATCTGTCTGCAGCCTCGGTTGCAGGGATGAGGGGTTTTCCTTGCTTGTGATTGGCTGTCTTTTTAGCGCACCTGTTCTGTCGTAAAACCCCATTGGCTAGCTAAGCTGTCATCCATTTTCGCCTCTTCTTCACGCGCTTCCCGCTCTTAGCGCTGGAGTGCCAGCTTGACTGTTGGCCTTTCTGTCTCAGGAGAACTACGCGAGGAAGTTCATTTAGGGAAAGCGAAGAGGAAAATCAGACATGTTAACGCAAAAGCTGCGTCACAGGAGCGATGGGAACATTTCAGAGAGCGTCAGCGGCGAACGCCGGTGGTTTTGCGCTTCAGTGCGCCAAGAGACGGATTCATAGGACGCGCGTCTACACGAGCTCGCGCGGAGAACACCACCAACTTCTGCGGCGCGTGACTTCATTACGCCACCGGTCCGGACCTCTATACTTGTGTTTCAAACTTCATTTATTGAAGGAATAATAACACCACCAGAGGAACAATGACAGTGACTTTCCCTGGCTGATAATAACGCTTTACTACTTTAGTGAAGGGTTTCATTCTCGTTTCTAACGGAATTTTGGTGATAGTTAAAGGACACGGATTTTTGGGGACCGCAGCAACGCCAATCTGCCGTCGAACCAGTTACTATATCACATGACTTTTCACAGGATTATGTTATTTATTCAACAACTTATCACACTAGACTATTCATAATGTTGTTTTTGGACACTATACTACTACCCAGAAAGCCAAAGATGATCGCTGTACGGATGGCGTTACTGCACGCGCTCCTCGTCGCGTCTCTCCACGGAGGTAAAGAAACATTTACGCACATCCAAAACTTGTTGCGAGATGCAATCGTGCAGAATAAATATAACCAGCATGATAAAAATGACAAGCATCCTTTATGTATTCAAACAACTGTTTGTTATTAAGCCCAGTGTCAGTGCGCTTTCACGGCTGTAGCGCGAATGCCACACAAAAACAAAAAGTTGGTGCAGGTTGCTCTCTATTCCACTTGACCCATTTTAACATTTTAATTTACACTTGAAATATTTATAGATGAATGCACACACTTCTGTGGTAAGTGACTCGTGCGTTTGGTCGTTGGAAGAGACTGTGGCGCGCAGCGACAGCAGCGGTGTGGTTTTGTTGTGCCAAGCGTATAAATAATAGAAATGTTGGTTTCTCACCTTGTTGTTTTGCAGTCTTATCATGAATTATACATGCATGTAGTTAGCTGGAAAGACAGAGATGTAGAAATAGGATGATTGAAGCGTCTTGCACGAAATATTGCTCGGAAATAACAGTTTTATGATGGTGAGACGAGCATATATTTTTCCCCTCCGGACATTTAGGAAGAGTGCGTGATGTGCAATGCTTGAGCTGTTTATTTTTGTTTTTACTTTAGATTATTATGCGCAAATTCAAAAACATCTTACTGTGTAAATGAAAGTAAGCTTGATTTCTTCTCACAGGAGTATTTTCTGTTTATGTCATTAATTTATAAAAGCTTGTTAAATGAGCTGATGTGGTAAGTAACACAGATGCATTTCATTTTTTAGCCTTTTTAAACAGTTTAAGGGGACAGTACTGCTATATTTGAGTGAGTATTGTATACACACACAGATATTTGCTGTGCTAAAGGTGAGCAACCCTATTTTCACAGTCCACAGAAGCAAGAGGCAGTGATGAAATGAGCAGACTTGTGTCCCAGCAGTGTGCTGTTTTTATTCATCCTCTCCAGCTGAGGACCCACAGTGGCCTTCACATCTATTTTTACTTATACTATCCCAGCAAGTCTGAAACTGGATATGTCATACAAACAATTAGGCTGTGGGGGTGAGATAGAGACAGACAGAAAGTGTGGGGGATTGCAAAATTAGAAAGTATGTGTTGAAGATCTTCCAACGCGAGGGATGACAAGATTGTCCAAGTGTGTGAGGGCTTGGATGGTATCAGAGTTGTTGACTCTGGAGACAGCACTTGCTGATCAAGCACTGAAACTGTCATCAGCATCATTACGTTTTTTTCCCACCAGCCTCTTTCCCAGCAAACGTGGCCTCATACTGCTGTGTGTAATGGACTGCATGCAAAAAGTGGCATGTGGTTTGAATGCATGGAATTGAGTCCGGTGAACTGTGCAATATCCACAGGAATATTTGCAGATTTGTGTTTGTAGAGAACTGTGCAGTGTTTGCAGGTTAGTGTCTGTCAGTATGATTATGAAAGTGCCAGTTGTTAAATTTTTTTTCTTTTAGACTACAGAATTGCTGACATATAGTAGGATATACTGTTCAAATTGCACAGCATATGAGGAATAGAAGCAAGCAGCATAAAACAGCTTATAATGTGCATGTGTCTGTGTGATGTGCCAGTGTTTGATGACTGAGGAGACAGATCTGTGAGTGAGTTACACCAAATCTGCAATTTGTCTGCAATTGAAGGCCCGAAAACGCACCTGTTCTCAGCAACGCCATCAGTAAATCTGTGGGATGAAAGGTTTTTGTTGCTTCAGGGAGTTTTAGGAGTTTAATTGACAAAAGCAGATGGATGTTTACAGAAGGACCGTCTTCCAAGTAGGGCTTAAAGCTAATTTTCCTAGCTGTGCGAAAACTGACTGTGAAACATCTCTCATCTTCAGCTTCCCCTTCTTTCTGCGTCTGAGGGCAGATATCTGTGTGTTTCGGGGCTCAACCGCAGGCCTGAACAGTTGTAACAAAACCAGAGGTGTTATTAAAACTGTCAGACTATCAGGCTGTCAAACACAGTTGCCCTGCCACACACACACACACACACACACACACACACGTATTTGTACACGTGCAGACACACACTGACTGTGTCTGCGAGCCAGGCCGAGCGAGGGGCCCATATGTTTGAAGGTTGGCTGACACCAGGGAGATGATTTGCTCTAGGGAGACTGTGAAGCCTAAATATCTTTTGCTAGCTCTCTCTCTCTCTACTCGTTCATACAAACACACACACACAGTCATGCAGGCATTCAAGCATGCTTATGCGCACAGACACACACCCCCTTGGTGGGTTTTCTTGCTGACAAACTTTCTAGCAAAGCAATAAATAGTGCATTTTTGCTTTGTTTCTTAAATTCATCAGATTAAATTCAAGATTCACAGCTAGAAGTGTGAGAGCTGTGAGTGTGTGCTTTTAATAATCCATAGCCAAAGAGGGGTAATCAAGAAGGTATTTCCCCACAGATTGGCATCCAGAGAGAAAGGAGGGATAGTGGACGGGAGGGGGCAGATGAGTGAAAGTAATGACTGTGATCATTATCTCCTATGTTTTTAATTGAGATAATGACCCAGAGGAAGACAATAAAACTCCCAAAGGAAAGATTTATTTCTCTCTTTCTCCCCCCTTCTTCTTTCATTTCTCCCTTCTATTTTTCTCCTTTCACTTTCCTAGAAGTGACTGCATGAAATTTCATCAGTTTTGATAGCCCCACTTCCAAGATAGCTCTATAACCCCGAACAAAGAAGCATTGTTATTTGGGAGTCTAAAGGTAAATGTTTCCTTAGAAATCCTCTGTTGTGTTTTCATACGAAATACTTAAATGCGATTCTGTCAATTCTAAACCTCAGAGGCGGAGAGAAAGAAGTTTGCTAAGACCGAAATGATTTTCCATTACAGCTGCAGAAAGACCAGTTAGCGAGTTCCCATTTTGCAAAGTAATAAAATTGAAAACTTTCATCTCAGCAAATTGATTTCAGTTGGATTCAGAAAGGAAGAATGAAGAGGAGGGTAAAAAAATCATTAAATCACTGGAGCATGACTGTACCGTGGGACTTTTGAAATTTGCGTAGAGCGGTGAGAACGCACACATACTTCCGCTTTACTTATTAATTCATTCACTCATTCTGTGACTTTGTGAAGGAGATTTTTGCATTAGGGAAGAGCATGTGGGTAAATACAAAGCCAGACTGAAGAAGAAAAGCAGACTGTGTTACAAATTGGCAGCAAAATCAAGACTCAATGGATTGATAAAGAAGGCATGAATAAATAGATTTATGACTTACGAATATATGCATAGCTCTATTTTATTCAGTTGCTTTCTTGAGAAGTTGTTTCTTCGCCTCCATTTTGCTCTATCTATTTGCAGGCTGCTGGAAGGTATTTCTCTGTCATTAACTACTCTCGGCCAGTAGTTCATTTAACACGTACATGGCCCTCAGGCTGCCTGAAAAATTATTGCCATTATCATCAGCTAGACTGCACATATTCTCGCGCTCTCTTTTGGATGTATTGTAGCCATATGGTATTGGCTCAGGAAATTAGAGTTGCACTTTTGTGTTACTAATTGGCTATCATTCTCTTTTTCTACAGTACAGCAATTTTCTGTATCGATTAGGCTTGGTTCTTTCTCCAGTGATGTGAGAAAGGGAGAGTGAAGGAGGGGAAAAAAAGAGGATACTGGAGGTGTTAGAGGTGGCTCTTGTTTGTGTAGATGGAATAATTAATGCTCATTAAGAGGGCGATGAGAGGCTTAGGGGTGATGCTACTTGTTAGGATAATTAGAGTCAAATAGGCCTCATTATGCAAATTGGGAGAAAGTGTGATTCTGTCAGTGTTTACCTGAACTCTATCATACTGATGACCTCAGATAGAGATGACAGTGAAGAAAAGATGGGGATGGGGGGGG